ACTTGATGCTCTCTTCTCTATCTGAGCTGCCTTTACCCCAGAGTGTGTGACTGGCCTCTAAGCCATGGAGTGAACAACCTGGTATTTATCACGGCTGTTCTTGGGTGTTAGTCTCTTATTTTGTTACTTTATGTTCCCCAGATGAATGTAATCTTTCTATGTCTGTCCCTCTCTTTCTGACTCATTTCGCTTAGCATAATATTTTCCATGTAGTACCACTTGTATGTAAATTTCATGACTTCATCTTTTCTAAGAGCTACATAGTACTCCATTGTGTAGATGTACCAAAGTTTCTTTAACCAGTCATCTGTTCTCGGGCACTCGGGTTTTTTCCAGATTCTGGCTATTGTAAACAGTGCTGCAATGAACAAACAAGTGCAGATGTCACTTCGACTATACTGTTTAGCCTCTCCGGGGTATATTCCCAGGAGTCGCACACTTTCTTTTAAGAAAATCTTTTTTCATCATTTTTAATCATAACAAGCAATACAAAATAAATCATTTCAGGCCTGCTATTGGGGCAGGCTTGGGTGGTGGTTGGGAAAATAGGAAACAAGGGTGGTGGGATTGGAGTTGGAATAAGGTAAAGGTAAAGGCCCTCCCGTTGATCGTCGATTTTGCTCGAGCGGGCCCAGTAACGTCTCCATTGGAGACTTTGTTGTTACTGTGTCTGGCATATCGAATACTCTCGGTAGCTTGCCGGGCTCTCCGAGAGGGGCGGAGGAATCGAACTCGGGTCGGCCATGTTGGCCACGTGTAAGGCGAACGCCCTACCGCTGTGCTATCACTCCAGCCCTTGAATGTAATAATCACTGTGAAAAATTTTATAAAAATCAAACAGCTACAAAAAAAATTAAGATCTCTTCGAAGGCCTGAGGACTTTGTGGATGTTTTGGCTTTGGGGAGCCACGTCCTGCCTGGCCTCTGCAATGCAGGCCAGCATCCTGGCTGATAGGCTCAATTTTAGATATATTTTTTTCCTTCATCGCCTTTGATCCGTTTCTCGTTTCTTTTCTTTTTTTTTGGGGGGGGGTCACATCCGGCGATGCTCAGGGGTTACTCCTGGCTCATGCACTCAGAAATTGCTCCTGGCAGTGCTCGGGGGACCATATGGGATGCTGGGAATCGAACCTGGGTCGGCCATGTTGGCTGCCTGCAAGGCAAACGCCCTACCCGCTGTGCTATCGCTCCAGCCCCCGTTTCTCATTTCTTTTGGATACACCTGGTACCTGTGTTCCATCTCTGCAGGCATAGAATGTTCTGGTCACAGCAGAGGGTCAGAGGGAGTGCTGATCTCATCTTAGTCTGCCTCAGTGGGCACTGACCTAGCAGCATCGAAAACTACACATCAAGAGTTCTTTGTTGGAAGTAATTGAGACAGGAATCTGGCCTTGGCATTTTAAATTTCCGTGGGGGTTTTGATTATTTTTCAAGTCCTATCTCTGCTCTAGGATGTTCCTAAGAGCTTCCTTTAGAATTGGCTTCTGGGAAGTTGTCCTTTCTGCCCGCTGGGAAACAGGTTGGGGGCTGTGATCAGGAAAGGACCCTTCTTCATAGATCAGCATTTATGATGGCTGATGTGTGTGTGTGTGTGTGTGTGTGTGTGTGTGTGTGTGTGTGTGTGTATAGGGGAGGGCGGGAGGCAGGCAACGCTTGGGCTTGTTGACTTGAACTAAATGTGGATGAAGATGACTTGTTTTCATTTGCGAGGAAGGATAATTGTGGCCTGGCAACAGGAAGCCAGGAAGTGGTACACGTACTAGACTTATATTTTACGGCAAGAGAATTTACTATTCCTAGTGATGGGGGAAAGGGGGAAGTGTTACTAAAAGCCTTGGTGATTTTTGCTGGAGATTGTCATGCAGTTTGCAGTCCATCGTAACGTCAGTAGGGAGTGTAAATTGGTATGGCCCCTTTGGAGGGCGATTTGGACTGTCCATTAAGTGTGAAATGTGATTGAATATGTGATTCCATGATGGGGAAGTTCTGCTGTGGATGGTCTCTTGACGTGCACAACCAGTGATGCTCCCTGTCACATACAGCAGAGCTGGCCAGAGCTGGACCACAGGAGAGGGAGGACAGTCCCCCCCCCCCCCCCCGCCTTGCTCTGTTCAGGAGTGACCTCTGACATGGCGACGAATAAGAAAAACCCAAGACAAGAAAGTGTAGATGGGACTCTCTGCATGGGACAAAGGGGTACAGACTCTGTGTGTGTGTGTATGTGTGTGTGTGTGTGTGTGTGTGTGTGTCTGTCTGTCTGTCTCGTGTGGGAGTGCCTACCTCTGGTGATAGAAACTGAGACACTGAAATCGGGGGGACTGGGAGAGACCAACGTAAATCAAGGTCATCTCTGCCCATGGGCAGTAAGTTCCCTCTTAACTGTGGATAGGGTCTTAGAATTTATGACTTTAAGTGAGAGGACACATATTACAATCACGTCCTTGAATAATCATCGTTTATGCCTGGTCAGGATTTCCTTTCCTCTCCAGTGCTTGTGGCAGAGTGATGTTATTTGGGCCACAGCTGTAGAACTGTCACTTCCTCAGAAGAAAAGGTAGCACCTTGGGATAACCTGCTTCTTTCTATTTAAATTTTTTTAACATTTTCTTTATTAAAAATATTATAACTCATGATTTGCCAAGTTGTTCTTAATAGAGTTGCTTCAGGCATTCAATGTTCCAATGCCCACCTTAGTACCAGTGTGCCCTTCCCTCCACCATGTCCCCAATTTCTCACCCATCATCCGAGCCTGTACCTTGCCAGCACAATCAAATGTCCTTCATTGTATTTATTACAGGGCTGGAGAGATAGCACAGCAGTAAGTCATTTGCCTTGCAAGCGGCCGGCCCAGCTGAGCTGGGTTCGATTCCTCTGCCCCTCTTGGAGAGCCTGGCAAGCTACTGAGAGTATCTTGTCCTCACAGCAAAGCCTGGCAAGCTCTCCGTGACGTATTCAATATGCCAAACACAGTTACAACAAAGTCTCAAAATGGAGACATTACTGGACCCGCTCGAGAAAAATCGATGAACAAGGGGAGGACAGTGACAGTGACAGTATTTGTTACAACACAAAAGCAAACGGAGCCATCGGATGTCTTAGATCAACCAGAGGCGATATCTGGTGGTGGTTCTGTCTCCCAGCGTGATTCCTCGTCCTTGTCTGAGGCTCCGTGTGCTGGGAGGGTCACAGCAGATCGAGCTGGAAGGTTCCCTAGAAGCCCACCCAGCCGTGAACCTAAGCAGTGACACAGGGGGCCCAGTGGCTGGGTGGGCTTCTAGGGAACCTTCCAGCTCGATCTGCTGTGACCCTAACGCACTGACAATACTAAGGAATCTTGAGGTGCCCATGAGAGGTAGATGTGTAATGATTTAGGGGCCTCACAGTGTGATGAGGTTCAGTTGTAGAACTCCTGAAGGGTCTCGGGGGTGGCAGCAGGCGATTGGCAGAAGCGGAGACTCTGTCTGCCCTGTTCCAGGTGGTCCCGGACTCATCTCCCTGGGATGTTTGGCTCGGTGGGGTCACAGCCTTTTGGAGCTGTTGGATGGGGCCAGTATCTTTGCCGGCCAGACGGCAGGTGTGGAGGGACTGATGAGTTTTCCAGGGGCAGAGGAGGGGCATGGGGGTTACAGCCACCCCCATTCTGGGAAGACTCCAGCCCGTAGACTGGTCCCACCTGGTCATTCTTTCAAAATCAGCTGTGGCGCTGGGCCATTTCTAAGTTGGAGGGTATTGGGGTGACTTTGCATTGCAGGGGCCTGGGGCAGAAAGGGGCATCTGCCTGCCCCACTTCCAAGGAGCCCCCAGAGTTCTCAGACCAGCCCAGACTTTCGACTTTGTTTTTGTTTTATTTTAGTTTTGTTTTGGTTTAGCTTTTGTTTGCGGTCACACCTTTGTACTCAGGGATCATTCCTTCTGGGCTCCAAGACCCTCTGGGGTGCCAGGGGTCAAACCCTGAATGGCCAGGTACAAGGCAAGCACCCTCCCTGCTGTACTATCTCCCCAACCCCCAAACCTGAGGCATCTCAGCTTGCTATCACCCCAGCCCCCAAACCCGCTTTCTCTCTCTCTCTCTTTTGCTTTTTTGGGTCACATCCAGCGGTGCTCAAGGTTTATTCCTGGCTCTGCGCTCAGGAATCACTCCTGGCAGTGTTCGGGGGACCATAAAGGATGCTGGGGATCGAACTCGGGTCAGCTGCGGGCAAGGCAAACACCCTCCCCGCTGTGCTATTGCTCCAGCCCCCAACCTTGTTACTATCAATGGTGCTTTCAGACCAGGCTTTGCAGCTTGGGGTTTCTGTGTGAGAGGGAGAGTCTGGGAACCTTCCCAAGCGTTGGGCACCCCCAGACATTGTGAACTCACACCTGAGTCTTTGGGGGAGGGCAGGAGGGAGAAGGGGGTCAGTGTTGAGTGGCTCCTGTGCAGCAAACGCCGTGTTAGGCATGCGATGTCAAAGTGAGAAGGACAGACGGCGTTCCAGTCCCACGGGGAAGGAAGAGACTGGTGAAGACCCCATCAGCATCCGTGCACGGTGGTTGTGGCAGTTCTTAAGGAAGAGTCCACGGCCCCCCAAAGCACGGCTCGTCCTTACCCCTGCTTCTTCTGTGTCTCATCGGCTTGGTGTTCATGCAGTGATTGGATCCTAACTGTGATTGGAGAATTCGTAGTAGCAGGCACTGCCTCGCTGCGGAACACCCCGCCCTACAGGCTGTGTGGCACATGTACCTTGCTTATTAAGTGGAACCATCAATTAATGCGGTACTTCCTTGTTCAAAATAACGCCACAAAATGATGGGGCTGGGTGGAAAACTGGGGACATTGGTGGTGTTGTTGGAACACTAAATGCCTGAACCAATTATATTGTGAGCAACTTTGTAAGTCACAGTGTTTTAATAAAAAAATATTTTTAAAAAAGCCACAAATACTCACGCAATAGAAAGAAATTTCTTTGTAAATTCCAGTCTGCACAGGTCCTTAATTTCCACATTTCCCCCCACCCCCACGTCAGATGGGGAACGTGCCAAGTGCATAACGAGTTCGAAGGGAGACACCTGTCACACAAACGTGCGAACACCCACTCACCATGCTGACGAACTGGAAAAGGAGCCTATTTTTAACGTTTCTTTTTTCAACTTGGCGATACTACGGTTGACGTCACTGTATGTTGCAGGAATTTTTATACCCCATCTGCAAAGATTTGTTGCCTCACTACAGTGGCTGACAGTCAGCACGGATGTTTGACCTCTGACCTCTGCGTTTTTCTTCTGGAATGTCTGCAATTGGTCCTCCCCACCGACATCCTGATCGGCAATAAGTGAGAAGCTAGTCCTGCTGGTCCAGCTTCCTGCTATTACATACAACCCGGGAGTGACCCCTGAGCCGGACCCTGGGTTGAGACGCCTGTGAGCCTCACAAGATGGGTGCTCTTGCTTCCCCCATTTTAGTGAGAGGACCCAGGGTGTCGGAGAGGTTAGAAAATGCAGGTCATGGGGCTGGAGCGATAGCACAGTGGGGAGGGCGTTAGCCTTGCACGTGGCCGACCTGGGTTCAATCCCTGGCATCCCATATGTTCCCCTTGAGCACCGCCAGGAGTAACCCCTGAGCATTGCCGGGTGGGACCCCAAAAAACAATCACTGTATCACTGTCATCCTGTTGTTCATCAATTGCCTCGAGCAGGCACCAGTAACGTCTCCTTCATCCTAGCCCTGAGATTTTAGAAAGTGCCACATTCGAGGCTCTTTCAGGGTGAGGAGAATGAGACCCATCGTTGTTACTGGTTTTTGGCATATTGAATATGCCACAGGGAGTTTGTCAGACTCTGCTGTGTGGGCAGGATACTTTTGGTAGCCTGCCAGGTTCTCTGGAGTAAGAACCAGATGATAAGATATTGCTTCCAGGAGCAGGGTTTTATAGTCTCTGGGTCTTGGCCGTTAATGGGATTACATGGTACCAGGGGCAGTTGGTGGGTGTAATGCTTACATACTGGAAGATGGAGGCGGGGGGGAGGATCTGGGTGGAGGAGGCCCAGTCCCAATTCGAGCAGGCTTGGAGATCTATGCCCTGGGTCCCGCACACCTGGGTTCCTCAGCTGGTTCCTTCATGCGTGAGGTTCGTCCGAACATGTGGAGAGTGGTCTTAATCATGGCTGTGGCTAGAACCGGAGGTCTTCAGATGCCGGGGCTCTGCTCGGGGTGGGGAGGGAAACTCAACCCACCCTCCTCCAAGGGGCCCCGGTGAGGACAGCCAGGCGCAGAGGCAGGAGACTCTGTGCTCTTCTCTTCCAGGAGGAAAAAAAAATGCAGGTCATAGGCTTCTAGGGAGGGGAGCTGCTGTTAGCCTCCTTCAGACCCTTTGTGCCTGGTTTTCCCAGTTGAGTCTGAGCGAGTCACCCTGTGGGACTCTCCTCAAACACCTTTCCACAAGCGCCCTCCTCACTGGGGCACACAGCTTAGAGTGGCCCCAAGTCCGCGTTTGCCTAGCTCACAGGGGCGACCCTCCACTGTTGCTAGGAGGCATTTTCCCACGTCTCCCTCTCAGGACCCTCCTCCAGCCTTTTGCCTGCCTCACCTGGAACCTCTTCATTCCAGAGATCTTGGAGCCCTTGGGACTCAGAAACACAACAGGGATGGAAGGGGACCATGGGCGTCTGCATGCAGGGGAGTGACCTCGCAGGGGAAGCAGGAGGCAGCCCCCCCGTGGCTAGGTGGGCCTGGGTGGACAACTTGTCCTCTGCCCCTATGCAATCTGGGCTCAGAGAATAAAGCCAGAATGTTCGATCCGTTCTCCCTCGTCAAGAGAAGTGGCCTTAGGATCGCAGATAGTTGCAATGAGCTGATTAAGGTAATCCCCATGACAACTTCTAAACCACATTTGCACAGAGGAAATAAGGGAGTGTTGGCTGCATGATTTAATAAAAACGGCTCTCGGTTCAGCTGGAGAATCGGCATAGCTCTGGGTGATTGCTTTCATTTTTGCTTAATGACTCTCAGAGAAATGCTTCCTCCTTAGTTAAAGAAATCAAGAGTCATGGAGATTGGGAGACAGAAGGACTAGGGACAATGGGAATGGTTTGGGGAAAAAAAATCGGGACGAACTGTCAAAAAATCAAGACGAACACACACACACACACACACACACACACCACCCATTATCACCAACTGACTAAAGAAACACGCACTGGCTGGCATTTGCTAAAAAAAAAAAAAAAAAAAAGAAAATTGCTCCTATTTATTTAATCAAGGGTTTGTTTTAAAGGGAAGAAGGGCAGGGAAGGAAACAATTATGTGCTCTCTGCTAGAATTAAGGCTGAATATTATTTGGCAACAGACTTTGTCTCAGTGAGATTGCGCCCACTGGCCTGGGTGGGAAAGCTTCTCTGGGCATGCGGCTAGGGATTGAAACGCGGATGGGGTCTGGGAACCAGTGCTGGGAAAAGAGGGCCTGTCGTGTTCCGGGCGGCTTTCTTCCATGTGGGGACAGGGACTCAGAGGGAGGCAATGAACAGGGAGGTCTGCGATGAGCATCTCAGGCCACATTCCTGGCATCTGTGCTGGGGTGATGGAGTCCCTGTTAGAGCACGGGAGATGGGAGGCTGCCATGATAGCACTGTCCACTGTCCTCCCGTTGTTCATCGATTTGCTCGAGCGGGCCCCGTAACGTCTCCATCGTGAGACTTGTTGTTACAGTGTTTGGCATATTGAATACGTCATGGGGAGCTTGCCAGGCTTTGCCATGCGGGCAAGATACTCTCGGTAGCTTGCTGGGGTCTCTGAGAGGGGTGGAGGAATCGAACTCGGGCCAGCCACATGGGCTGGTGTAAGGCAAATGCCCTACCCGCTGTGCTATCGCTCCAGCCCACCATGATAGTGTTTTTTTTTTTTTGTCTTTCGGGTCACACCCAGCGATGCTCAGGGGTTACTCCTGGCTCTTAACTCGGGAATTACTCCTGGCAGTGTTTGGGGGACCCTATGGGATGCCAGGGATCAAACCTGGGTTGGCCACGTGCAAGACAAGTGCCTTCCCTGCTGTACTATCGCTCTGGCCCTGCCATGGTGGTCTTTGCTTGGCAGGCGCTAAGAAGACACACAATGTCAGAGAATTCAGGGGCCAGAACAGACAGTCAGGCTCACCTTGCTTGTCACAAGGCGTTTTTGTTGACGTCCTGGAAGTACGGGGTGTTCTCACATGATATTTGAGAACTAGAGGGAAGCAGGAAAAAAAATACCCCAAATTCTACTCCTGAATGCAAACACATTAACATTCAGGGGCACTTTCTCTCCCAATAGATTGCTTTTGCAGTCAGGATCAAAGTGTGCTACTTTGTGGCACCCTCAATTGTCACTTATATTGGGTTGTGAAGATTTCCAGCCTGCCAGATACACTTTAGAACCCTTATCCATAGGGAGAGGGTAACATTACACCCTGGATGAGAAATGATGTATTTCTTTCTATACTCTGGGTAGACCAGTTGCCCCCTATTTCCCTCCTCCAAATAATTTGTTTATGTGATCTCTCTCTCTCTCTCTCTCTCTCTCTCTCCTTGTTAAAAATAATTTCTTGAGATTTTTGTTTTATTCACCAATGGAGTGATAGCACAGCTGTAGGGCGTTTGCCTTGCACGCAGCCAACATGGCCGACCCGAGTTCGATTCCTCCGCCCCTCTCGGAGAGCCTGGCAAGCTACCGAGAGTATTCGATATGCCAGACACAGTAACAACAAAGTCTCCAATGGAGACGTTACTGGGCCCGCTCGAGCAAATCGACGATCAACGGGAGGGCCTTTACCTTTACCACCAATGGAAGAGTTGAAGGCCAGAGAAATAAGCAAACAGGCTGGCTAGCGAATTATAAAGAAAAACTTACTGGAATCGAGACATTCAGCACCAAAGAACACTTGATCAATGGCATTGCTCACAGTCACAGAAACTTAAGACTTTTGACACATTATTTTGCTTCTTAGAGCAATGATAGTGGGGGGAGGCAGGGATGGGCAAGGGCGAGTTCTAGAGACAACTGCTAACAACAGAAAGCCTTGGACCCTTTATATTGTGTATGAACAGTATATTATATATGCTATATATATGTAAATATATATCACTATGTTATTATACAGCAGTGGAATGTCTGGATTGTTTTGAGCACTGCCCGAGAGAGCCATCCGTGTTGACAGAAATGTCCTCTGAATTTCCCAGCTTGGACACCACCAGAAGTATGCCAGTGAGTCCTGGGGGGCTGTGCTTTCAGTTCAATTCTGGCTGACTTGATTTCTGTTGCCACATGTTAGTCTCGAAGAAAGGGGGTCACGTGAGATCCAGCTCAGATTTATCTGACCGCAGTCTCCGGGGCCTTTCCCCTGGAGCATCTCTGGAGAAAGGAGTATGGGCCGAGTTGGTGCAGGAAATTCCTCCCCAAGGGTCTTTGAGAATAGAAGATTAGAAGATTATTTTTTTAAAATTTTTATTAGTGAAACACCATGAGGTACAGTTGTAGATTTACAAATTTTTGTGCTTGGGTTTCGATTATACAATGATCAAGTACCCATCCCTCCACCAGTGCCCATTTCCCACCACCACGGGTCCCAGTATCCCTCCCAAACCCATCCCCCCCATCCAACCTTGCCTCTGTGGCAAGGCATTCCCTTTTGTTCTCTCTCTCCTTTTGGGTGTTGTGGTCTGCAAAAGAGGCATTGAGTGGCAATCATGTTCAGTCCACAGTCTACTTTCAACATGCATATCTCCTCCTGGGAGGATCCTCCAAACACCCTTTATTTGGTGCTCCCTTCTCTATCTGAGCTGCCCTTTCCCCTAGAATGCCCGGCTGGCCTCTAAGCCATGGAGTAATCCTCCTGGTACTGATCTCGGCTAGAGAATAGGAGATTCTTAAGAAAAAAGTCTGAGGGACGAGAAGGAAGGGGTGAGTTCTTATTAAATCTCTCTCCCCCAGTGCCCAGCCAAGCTAGGCTCAGTGAAGACCCGAGAGAGAACTACCCCAGCACCCTCTCTTCTGAGTACCCTCCTTGGGGTACTTCAATCCTCCTTTCTGCTGTTGAAGTTGTTTTGATCTTTCTGCTTGTATGCAAAGCGTTTCCCACTTTCTGTCTTCTTTGG